TGAATATCACGCACGGATACATAAGACAAAGCTCCCCTCGTATATCCTTAACAGACTGTTGGGATAAGTGCTGTTGCAAGCACCTACTGATGCCGGCACGGTGCCAGCACCACGCCTGCCCGCCTTTGTCTCCCTAATACCTGATGTTGCACACCGCACCATGTACTCGTTAGAGGCTGAGTCGACCTCGGAGATGCCTTCGGTTATTGGTTGTGAGCCTGAATCAAACGGGGTCATCGGGTTCAGAGTGTAATTTGCGCTAAAACTGTGCCAACACTCTCCATATATGTGTAGTGTCATAGGTCTCTTCTTCTTCTCTCCCTTCTCGAGGTGTGTGTGTGCGGGTGGCGTGCAGCGCACACACTCAGTCGGAGGCGAGGTAGTCGCAGGGGGCACCGTCTTTCTCTATATTAGGTTCACACCACCAACTCAGGCCCCCTCTCTCACGACCACGCTGCCGTAGGTCCCGGCCCAGACACGACCCTGTCTGCGTTGCACCAACGGCATCAATCGAAACTACTGACTAAGACAAATATATCCATATAGCCTGAGCAAACTTTTGTACCAAGTGCTCTTAGCATACAAAAAGACAAAGATCCTAAGTATATCCATAACAGACTGTTGGGGCAAGTGCTATTAGCGAGCACCGATGAAGGCCAGAACGGCACACGAGGGGGTGAGTGTCCAACACCACGCTTGGCCGATTTTGTCTTCTCAGTGGCGAAATGTACACACAGCACCAGGTGCTCATTTGAGGCTGAGTCGATCTAGAGGAGGCCCAGGACCGGTTCAGATGATCCTCACTGATGTTGGTTGTGAGCGGGAATCGAACTCGGGTTACCGAGTTTGTAGTGCAGCGCTGTTAGCATACATACGTAGCGCCATAGATGGAACGGTACCTCGTAACGTCAGGGGAGGGGCTGCAGCGGTAGCCCAAGAGGGGAGGGGGTGCTGGGGGCTCAGGATCCCCAGACAGCTAAGCCCCTTGGCGCCCTCAACGGGGGGGGGGGAGGGGGCTGCGGGGGTTCTAGGATCCCTCGCAGCCCCACCCCTCAATGGGCAAGGGGCAAAAAAGGGGACCTCCCCAGCCGATCTGGGACCAGTTGAAGGCCGAAGCCGAAGATCAGCTAGATAGGACCCTGGACCCCCTCGACCAGCTGTCCTTGTCAGGACCAGGACGCTGTGCGGGCCAGTGGTGGGACTCTGGACCAGTGGTGGGACTCTGGGACTCCCGGCCCCACGCCCTTTTGAGGGCGAGGTCCGAGGAAGCCAGAGTCTAGAACCGCACCTTGGCTGGGTCGGGTCAGGGTAGCCTCTCCTAGGGTAATTATAGCGGAGGACCCGAGAGCGTTGCCAGTGTCACGGCACGCTAGGAGTAGGCTGTGTCCCTAGGCTGAACCATTGTATAAGGACTGTTGGAGTAAGGTATTGTAATAAAGTTACCTATCCGAAGTGCCTCCGGAACCCACTACACATACATACATACACACATACATATACAGTATACATCATGCCTTCACACACACAGTCCAGTCTCCTCCAATTGCCAGTGCATCTGATTTAAACGAGCCTCCCCCGGTTAAATCGAAAATATATAATTGGGAAGAGAAACTGCCCTGAACGCGTCATCCATTCATTAATCTTCCATTACCAGCCGTGCTTAATGGGCCACCCACTCACTTATACGGGGACATCCCGACAGGTGGCATGGAAATGTTCCCTAGCAGAGAAAACAACCCTTACTAATATCATACTTTACCAGCAAAAATATTTTTCTGGCTTTCTGCCTGGGTTACTGTTTACCTGGCTAGTGCACAGGTTCACATTTGTGTTATTAACGTCACCCCACACACATGCGTGATGACGCTGATGTGACGCCTCCACCCCGGAGGCATAAAATCAGAGATTGAGGAAATAAAGGGAGGTGACGCAAAGAGATTTAGGAGAGAGAGATATGAGGGAGGTAAGGGAGGGAGATGGATAAAGAGACAGAGAGGAGAGGGGTGGGGAGAGAGTGCAGGGCATGAGAGAGAGAGAGCAAAACGGAAAGAGTCGAGCGAGGGAGAGAAACATGCAGTGGGATGATTCGAGAGAGACAAGAGGCGGGGAAGAGAGCGCTTTGGATGAGAAGGGCGAGGGTGAGAGGTGTGGGAAACAGTGAGGAACAACTGGGGAGGGAAGTGGGTGAGTGGAGGGAGGGAGGGGAGGAATATACAGTGAGGGAAAAAAGTATTTGATCCCTTGCTTATTTTGTACGTTTGCCCACTGACAAAGAAATGATCAGTCTATAATTTTAATGGTAGGTTTATTTGAACAGTGAGAGACAGAATAACTAGAAAAAAATCCAGAGAAACGCATGTCAAAATTTTTATAAATTGATTTGCATTTTAATGAGGGAAATAAGTATTTGACCCCTCTGCAAAACATGACTTAGTACTTGGTGGCAAAACCCTTGTTGGCAATCACAGAGGTCAGTCGTTTCTTGTAGTTGGCCACCAGGTTTGTACACATCTCAGGAGGGATTTTGTCCTACTCCTCTTTGCAGATCTTCTCCAAGTCATTAAGGTTTCGAGGCTGACGTTTGGCAACTCGAACCTTCAGCTCCCTCCACAGATTTTCTATGGGATTAAGGTCTGGAGACTGGCTAGGCCACTCCAGGACCTTAATGTGCTTCTTCTTGAGCCACTCCTTTGTTGCCTTGGCCGTGTGTTTTGGGTCATTGTCATGCTGAAATACCCATCCACGACCCATTTTCAATGCCCTGGCTGAGGGAAGGAGGTTCTCACCCAAGATTTGACGGTACATGGCCGCGTCCATCGTCCCTTTGATGCGGTGAAGTTGTCCTGTCCCCTTAGCAGAAAAACACCCCCAAAGCATAATGTTTCCACCTCCTTGTTTGACGGTGGGGATGATGTTCTTGGGGTCATAGGCAGCATTCCTGCTCCTCCAAACACGGCGAGTTGAGTTGATGCCAAAGAGCTCGATTTTGGTCTCATCTGACCACAACACTTTCACCCAGTTGTCCTCTGAATCATTCAGATGTTCATTGGCAAACTTCAGACGGGCATGTATATGTGCTTTCTTGAGCAGGGGGACCTCACCGTTCTCATGACCATTGCAACTCTACGAGGTGAGATCTTGCATGGAGCCCCAGGCCAAATGAGATTGACAGTTCTTTTGTGTTTCTTCCATTTGCGAATAATCGCACCAACTGTTGTCACCTTCTCACCAAGCTGCTTGGCAATGGTCTTGTAGCCCATTCCAGCCTTGTGCAGGTCTACAATCTTGTCCCTGATATCCTTGGAGAGCTCTTTGGTCTTGGCCATGGTGGAGAGTTTGGAATCTAATTGATTGATTGCTTCTGTGGAGAGGTGTCTTTGATACAGGTAACAAGCTGAAATTAGGAGCACTCCCTTTAAGAGTGTGCTCCTAATCTCAGCTCGTTACCTGTATAAAAGACACCTGGGAGCCAGAAATCTTTCTGATTGAGAGGGGGTCAAACACTTATTTCCCTCATTAAAATGCAAATCAATATATAACATTTTTGACATGCGTTTTTCTGGATTTCTTGTTGTTATTCTGTCTCTCACTGTTTAAATAAACCTACCATTAAAATTATAGACTGATCATTTCTTTGTCAGTAGAGGCAGAAGTAGACGAAGTTATCCATATAGGGGACTGAGAAACAGAGGCGTAGTGAGAAATCGAGATGAATTGGGATATATAGTATAGAGAAGGCCAGAGAAAGATGGAGTGAGACACGCATCTTTATAAGATTAAACGTTTTGATGGTAGGCTGGGAGGCACGAACAGATGGTCACGTCCCGAGGACGTGCAGGTTGTTCGTGAATATATAAAAACTAGCTTTACTACCCGGCTTCGCCCGGGACTTGGATTCACCACGCCCGGCCGCCTTTGTCCCCCCAGTGGCGATGTTCACACACCGCACCAGTTACTCGTTTGAGGCTGAGTTGACCTAGGGGATGCCCAGGACCGTTTAAAATTATCGTCACCAGTGGTGGCCGTGAGCGGGAATCGAACTCTGGTCGCCGGGTTCGTAGAGGAAGGGTTTTCAGTTCACACTACAGGGACTCATCTACTTGCGAACATTCAACTCACGAACTTTCAGAGATACGAACAAACCTGTCCGTTCGTCCAGTTGCCTGTTTGGACCGAGAGTCGTAAGTTCAACCGCCATGAAATAGATGGCGGTGGTGGCATCTACATCTGAAGCAAATTATACAACTTTTAAAGCCATTGTAGATGTTTGGAATCGGCAGGAGTAAAGTGGGACTTACGAACAAATCGACTTACGAACATACCTCTGGAACCTAGCTCGTTTGTAAGTAGAGGAGTCCCTGTACGGCAGTGGCGTAATGAACTACATTTACCAGCCCAAGGTGCGGCAATCGGTCAGGTGGTACCCCAATATTTGATGTCTCTCACACGGTTGCACCTTAGAGGCTATTATTGTATATCGCGACTCATCTTGCCCTCATCACACCATAGTAACGGTCACGGTCTCGAACATTTAACGCTGTAGGGCGCGCTCCATCTTCACATAAACTCCTTAAAAACGTTTTTTAAAACAACGGCTTTGTTAACAACTTCATTTAACTCACGGTCAATGGTGCCTGAGACACGCGGCGCCTGCTTCTTGGGCGAGGCGATTCCAGAGTTTAGGGACCGCGCCGTTTTTGGCCTACCCAAATAAATATTTAATTAATAATCAGTCCATACAAAACGTTGCTTTAAAAGAGCCAATTAATTGAATAATTGATGCCGATTTTGATACAGGCATGCATTGTCATCAGATCTGAGTACGTGTGCACAATTTGGAATTCATTGGACAACAGGAAGTAGACTAAATTTGTATTACAAGATTTGACAACGACTAACAGGAGTCAAGTTAAGGAACACCGTTGAAAAAACCAAGATAAACGTATTCCGGTTATGCACGCGGAGAGAAAGGTCTTGGGCAGTAAACGTAACAGTTTTACCTTTGTAACCGCAACATGAAGACAGCGGCCAGTGGTGCAATGGTTAGCAACGCTGAACTCACAATCCAGAGATCGCCAGTCCTCTCGGAGCGACTGTTGAGATGGAATCGAACCGTCGTCCTTCGCTGTCCCCTCGGCGTTATTAACGGGGATACCACAGCTGATCGGCCGGGCGCGTCTGGTGGGGTAAAGTGCGGGTAAGCCCAACGCTTGCAATACGTCTGGAACATCGTGGAAGAGTAGAGCAAATACCACTCTAGAGCTCCCTCAAGTGAAGACCCTTCACTTGAGCGAGCAATTGCAGCGCCGCTCCTTTACATTTTAACTGAGAGACGAGGGAAGATGTTGACTCAGCTTGTACGTGAGCGCGCACAAATGAGTGCATTGATCACTCACATGCCAGTCAGTTCACGTGAGTAGCGATCTCGCTATATACGTTTGTAATGTACAACTATTTGGCCTTAACAGGTATTCACTAACAGCACTCGCCGTTACATTGTTTAACGATCTCATTCAGTGAGTCAATAAGACAGCAGTGTTTGTGTGCTGCGTGACTGTGTTTGTGTGGGGGAGCCGTCCTGTAATGGTTAGCGCGCTGCGCCACAAACTCGAGTTCGATTCCAGCTCACGGCCAGCACCAGTGATGATGATCTGAATCGGTCCTGGGCTTCCTATAGGTCGAGCCATCCTCAAATGAGTACTTGGTGCGGTGTGTAAACATCGCCACTACGGAGACAAAGGCGGCCGGGTGTGGTTCTGTCCCCCCACTCCCTCTTGTGCCGTGTCGGCTTTCATAGGTGCTCGCTAACAGCACTTCCCCCAAATGTCTGCCGAGGCTATACGGGGGATTATTGTCTTTGTGTAAGAGTGAATATATATGTGAGAGTATGCGGTACAGTATATATGGGTGTACAGTATATACGTGTCTGCGTGCAAGTGTATGTATATGGGTGTGGAGTGGTGGCGCGGTGGATAGCGCATTGGACATCAATCAGCGAGATGACATTTATTTCCGACAATGGCTAACATCAGAGGCTCGTGAAATCTTCACACATCCAGCAACCCACACTAGATAAAACACTCAAGTGACTCAGTGTAAGGGAGACGTTCATCCAGAAGTGGATTGAAAATGGGCTTTAATTCGTATTGTGAATTGAACTGTCACGTATGCGTAATTAAATATACATCTGTGTATGCTCGTGCTTGTTGTGTAACAGTTAATGTGTATCTATGTAAACTTATAAGAATGTGGGGCCCTTTTGTTAACCCACTGCTTGATGTGTAATGTGGTTGTTGAGCAATAACCGGTAACCGTTTGTAGAACCGATTTCGGGTGGAATGTTAGCAGTGAACAGTGATTGGCTCACACGTTCACCACGTCCCTTCTTTTCTCAGTTAAGACACGATAAAGGCGCAGCCCTGCAATTTTTTCGCTCATGCAATACTGCTGGCGGAATAACCTGTACTCGAGGGAGCTCTAGGGGATGTTTGGTCTACTCTTCCACGCTGACCAAATGTGTTGTAAGAGAAGGGCGTATCCACACTTCCACCCACCATATGCGACAGAGGCGGTGGGGATTTAAGAAACCTGCTCCATCGTTTCCACTGCTGCACCGGGAGACGGAGTCGAACCACCGCCCTCTGGATTGCAAGTCCCGTGTGCTGGTAATCATTGCGGCATCTCCCTTCGTTTCTCAGGTTACAAAGGTTACATACGCTATGTTTTTGCACGAGAAGTGTCTATGTGTGCGGCAATCATTCGGATAGTAGTGCAGTAATGCGGATAATCGGCGTGCCACTGAATACTTACATTTCAAAAATGTTACCAGTATCTGGGACAACAGTTATGTGCAACCCAAAAGTCAGGTTTGTTATGTGCAACCAAAAGTCAGGTTTGTTATTTTCAAGTTCACCCCTCCTGGTTTTATTAATTTTCCTGTCTAACGGAAGGGTTTCGAGTTCAAAGACAATCCGTCAATTTGTACTGGATGCTCAATGGAGTTGAGCAATGCATTATGACAGTCAATACACATGGAGTCATCGTAAGGATGTGATCCAAGACAACTACAATTTAACTTAAGCCACATTCACTCTACAGCACTGGGGATAGTTCTTGAAGACAAAGCGAGATCAACGAGATGCAAGGAAGCGGAAAGGAGAGCAGGTTTGAGTGGTTTTGGGAAAGCCGAACTTGACAATGACAAGTCACAGACCAATGTGCCTCACTAATACGGCCACAACACATTCGTCAAATAAGACTTACCTTAACAGGAAATCGTATAAATTAGTCAACGTTTTGGGTAATGGCCCCTCCTTCATAGCACAATGTGCCTCATAACTAAATCGATGCTGTTGCAAATAATTGCTCACAGAACGCCATTTGGGATGTGTATTTTTTTAATGGACAGATAGGTACGCGAAGGAGGTATATTGTGCGCCAATTTATGTTGACCTTAATAGGTACTCGCTAACAGCACGGTGTGTTGAGGCTGCATGGGGGCTACATGTGATGTGTTTTGCTCTCGCCATCAGCTCACAGCGGAACCTTTAAAGTTCCCATGGTAACGAAGACTTCAAAAGGACAGAATGACCGCAACAGCAACATCCGCTATTCGCCACTGAGTGGCAGTGATGTTAATACGGATATTTTTTGTGCCGGGCTAGGTGCACTTTGAGGCCGTCACATGAAGTGTGAAAGGCTCGCTTTGAGGAGGTCACGGGACAAACCCAGGTTTTATGCGTTGACTGACTTGGATGACTGGCAGATGCACCATCTCTGCCAACTTTATAGTTAATCTGAACGTTGCTGCTCTGCCCTCTGTTGTTGTGTCAAGATCGGCCTCCACAGACACTGCTGGTACCAATCATCAGCATGTACGCTCAGCTCAACATCCTCCTGTACTACATCAGCCCATATCTTCTCCTGCCCGTGGCGCGCCCGTTTACCCCCCACTATCCAGCGAAGCAGAAGCTACTTTAACAAGCAGGGACTAGGAAACGCGAGGCTCATGACCCAATCAACGCAGCATTGCTCACTGATGAAACTTTGTCAATATCTTTCGAGGGTCCGAGAGCTCCTCACATAATCCAGTCTGGTTAAACCCAGGATTGACCGGAAGCAAGCCAGCCTGCATTTTTTGGCGCCAGGGCAGATGTTTATTTAAATAAGTCTATTTTTCGCAAGCATAGGAAGAGAGGACATAACTTTGCCCGAGAAGATACGAAGCTTCGTTTAGAGTGACAGGCCAGGTAGCTTCTACACAAGGGTTATGCAGAAAAACACAAGGCAGCTCTATTAATTCGGAGTGCAATCTCTGCTACCACACCGGAGCTGGTCATGAGCACACTGCCCAGGTATAGAACTCCTCCACCCTCTCTACAACTGCCCCCATCATGCTACTCATAGGGAGTTTAGGGCGTGGAGCATTTGATTATAGAAATACACAAGCAGGTGCTTTGTTTTGGTGGGGCTGATGGAAGGCCCCGCCTCTTAGTAGAATGCCCCAGATTCAGCAGGAAAGTATTTAACCCTTCATAGTGAGGAGTAATTATCAGATCATCAGCATACATAACATGACTGACCAGTGGTAAGCCATCCCTTTACCACACCCGGGAATCGATCAGCTTCCCCATGATCTGTACTAGATGGAAATTATTCTGGTCCAACCATGGACAGATTGTCAAACTACATGGTCAAAAGTATGTTGCATATTATAGGGGCCAGAGGACATCCCTTTCGCAGACAATACGAGGACAAAGTTCCCGACCGCCTTTATCTCCCTAGTGGCAATGTTTGAGGCTGAGTCGACCTAGGAGATGCCCAGTACAAATTCAGATGATAGTCACTGGTGTTTGGCCATGAATGGGAATCGAACTCGGGTCGCCGGGTTCGTAGCGCAGCATGCTAACCGCTACGCAGAGTACATATACACGTGTACATGCACACGTAAACACACATCCACATTTACAAAGATAAAGATCCCCCGTATAGCCTGAACGGGCATTTAGAGCAATTACTGTTAGCGGGCACCTGTGAGGGCCGTCACGGCGTACCTATGAGGGGGTGGTGTGGTCAGTAACACACCCGGCCGCCTTTGTCTCCCAATTACCGATATTTTAAACACCACAACATGTATTCAGTTTAGGCTGGGTCGATATGGGAGAGGCCCAGGACCGGTTCAGGTTTTGGATTCGCTCACACATTCGCCAATGACGTTAGCTCTGAATGGAAACTTATTGCGCTCATGTCGCCGACTTGGTGCGCAGTGCACCAATTACTGTACCACCGCTCTTCTATTCACACTTAAACGTTTGTGCGACAGCACTGTGGACACACGAGCTCATGTACGTGGCTCCATATTATATGCAATACAAAAACACATGGAAACTCCTAAATATTCGGACACCCGCACACCCGAAAAGCAAACAGTGCTTATTGTAAATAATATTGGTTCATATGCTGTATTTGCAGTGTTCGGTTTCTTTTGTAAAGCGTTTGCTTTTGTCTGATTTCTATTTCCTTCATTTTTGACTTGTATTTATGTTATTGCATTCGTCATTTGGATGACCCAGATTAGTCTGCGCCAATGAGTCTACGTGACTTCTCACCTGGTATTAACAATTGCTTACCCAGGTAAATGCGCATGCCTGGAATTGGCTGTTCATGGCACCCTTGGCGGAGAGTCATTGATCGACTCCTGCACGCTGGCCAGGCGTTTTGGAAGAGGAGCGAGCACTCAAAACTTTACCCCACCTCCAGCGAACTTCCGAAAAACTGTGGTGCACCCGTCTATAGTGCCAATACATTAATACCCACAGCTCAATTTTCATACACACATACAAACACCCCAAAACACACACACAAAACCCCCCATATAGCTTTTAACATATTGGTGGAACAAGTGCTTTTAGCGAGCACCTATGAAGGTGGGCAGGGCACATGAGAGGTAGCCAGCACCGCGCCTTTGTCTCCTTCATGGTGAAATTTACACATCGCACTGGGTACTCGTTTGAAGCTGAATCAACCCAGGGGAGGTCCCAGATCGGTTCAGATAATCGGTATTGCCCGTGAACAGGAGTTGAACTGAGGTCACCGGGTTTGTAGTGCAGCACGCCAACCGCTACACTACTGCCCCCCCCCCACACACACAACAACAGCTGCTATTCGCTCCTAAAGAG